CATCACAGACACCGACGTAATTACAAGAATGACACAATTTACTATACTAATTTGATTTTCTCCCTCGATTTACCCAGTTATTACTCATTTATGATAATATAGTAACTTCATAGAGCAAACATTATCATTCCGTTTTTAACATTATACTTAATTTTCAAATTTATTCAATCAATCATACCTAAATTTATCAATAAAATACATCCAATATATAATGTATAATATTAATAACAATTTTTATATTTTTAACATGTCTATTTTTCTTGACATATATATTGTTAATATAACTAAATAATATTGATATATTTGACATCAACTCCATATTATTTGCTGAAAGTCTATATGACCCACAACAAACAAAAGTATAATATGAAGTCAAATTAAAATAATTATAGACAATTTACATAATGTTTATTTAAAATATTTACAGATATATTTTTTTCATTCATAAAATCAAAAATATATTATGTACATGTATTTCGTAAGCTATATACATAGGTATACACTATTAAATAATTTATTATACATATATTATTAATAAATAAGCTGTACTTATATTTTTTGAAATGGGTAAATAAACTTTTAAAAATAATATGGTAACTTATTAAGAGTTTAATTGAAAACTAAAATATAAAATATAGAAAAATGTTCTAAAAAGATAACAAATATGAATAAAAAAATTATCAGACAGCTAGAAAAGAATATTGATTTTAGTTAAATACATTTTATATTTGATTCAACAAATTCAATTAAAACCTAATAATTCAATCTAAATTGTTTTTTGTATACATTTAATTAATACATTATTTTCGTATAAATAATAATTATTAAAATTAATTACGTATATTTTAAATTTTGTCTACTAGAACAATTTAAAATGTAGCAAAAATATCTAAGTTAATTTAAATAGTTAATCAATATCACTAAAATAATGATAGACATTTCTAAAATTATAACCAAAATAATAATATAATTAAATAACTGTAATACAAATTATATTAGTAAAAAAAAATATTGATAAATAATTAGTTTCTAGTTATTACTATAAAATTTAATATTAATGAAAAAAAATATCATTCTAACACACAAAGAAAATAATGCTATAGTGTAAGTAGATAAGTTTAAAAAAACGATATATGTTACAAACTAAGATTTTTAAAATCCATCTCATAAAATGACTCTCAATTCCAAGATTAATATAAAAGAATAACTTCATACCTAAGTATTACATTTTTTTTTTTAGTTATATCTTTTAACCTATGCCAACATCATTAAATAAATTATTAAACATTATTTGAAAATAACAATTTTTAAATATAATTATGAATACCTTTTGTTTAATAATTTAAAGTCTTTTTGTGTATTAAAATACTTGCAACACCAATTTTTAATCAGAATTTATGTGTCATATTTAAAAACAAATAAAACAGATAAAAATAATTTATACATAAAATGCAATAACATTAAATTTATTGGGAAATTAAATTATATAAATTTAATGTAAATAAGTATACAATTCATTTTTTACTTGAACATTTCAAAATAATCAATTATTTGATGAGCTAATTAAATTTAATCCATGATAAAATTCAAAAAAATATCTTAAAAATCCATTTTATTTAAATTAATATTTTTAGTGTATTGAAATCAATGAATTTCAATGAATAGTTTCTTTAATTTTTTACTGGTAAATAAATAAACTTCTGGCCCAATTGATTTATTGCCGATAGTAGTTCATTCAAAATTCATTTATTAACAATTTATCTTTTCATCATCTTCTGAATCTAAGGAATTCAATAAAACAATGAACAGAAGCCGGTTCTCTTTACGTTTTTACAAAATTCGACTATCCACATTGTATATGATGGGAAAAATGATTCGTGTATTTATTGGTTGACCTTGATACTCAAATTGTATTTTCAAACTACTAGTTGTACATATTAAAAAACAAGAAATTAAAATCTTAGAAACAAAAATATAAATCAAACTATATAGATTAAATTTTGTCCTTTGTAATAACAAATTTTTATTATATTATATTTTATGTTTACATAATTACTTTATAAAATATACATCAAACAAATGTTAAATCATTTGTTAATTTAGTTTCTTATCAAAAAACATATTTTTAAGAAGATTAATCTTAAATTAATCAAGTATACTTAGAATTATGGACAATACATATTATATTATCCAAAAATAATTGAAAAAATATAAATAATTTAAATCAAATGAAGGTCACATTTCAGTTGAATGATACTTATAATTAAATACTAATTCGGATAAAAATAAGGAAATACTCAAATTAATTAAAATACAAGTAGCTTAATTACTTAAGTAAGTGTTTTTAATATCTTCCAAACAATCGAGAAAAATTATAAAATATAATTTAAAAGATTAACAACTTTCTAGAAAATAAAACAAGATATAAATTAGAGAAGTAAACCTGAAAAAATTTTTAGTAAATTAAAAAAAATACATAGAACACGTAAGCAAGATCAATATAACTAATTCCTATAATTTATTCATAATAATCAAGAATATCAATGTGATAGATAACAGTACAATTCAAATGGAAGAACGATTTAAATTTTTTACAGATGATGAACAAAATAATAGAAATTTCTATGATTATATCATTCTGTACAAAATGTTAACTTTAAAGTTAATCAATTTAAGTTGTCTTGCTCATTTTACGTATCATTATAATTATAGCCCTTTATTTCTGACGGGGTTACAAATATTAGTATTGGCACTTCAACTACATTGAAAGTATTATTATGCAGAACAATTCCGATAAAATTTATATCTGATAATGAAACTAAATTAGTTCATTTAAATTGTCTTCATGATCATTATATTCGACAATATCAAAGCTGAAGTATTGTATAACACCTTACAAGATTATAAGACTTAACGAATTAATTTTGTCATTCACAATACGATAGAAACCATTGTTGGTTAAACAGAGTATGAAAACATGACCTTATAGTCGTAGGTGGCCAGATTTCATAGTGTCAAAAGTCAGTCATACAGAGAATACGAAATCTATTAATCACGGGTAAAATTAAGAATTCATTCAAGTTCTTCACATCTATTTAAACAACCATAGAATTATAGTATAATATACCTAGTATATATTATTATCAAAAAAAAAAAAAATGTAATTTTTTTACTTGATACACTTACAATTTAAAATTTATAAAAAAATATATTTTAATAATATCATTTTTAAGTATAATAACTAAAAATTATTGCATGATTTAAATTTAAAAACATAATTTATATAATAAATAACATATTAATTGCTATTTTGAAATGTATACGAATATTTTAAAAATATTATTTCGAGCTTTTAGTATTAATTATATTGTATATTATAATCACAAAATTGTTAGGAATTATCATGTTATCGAATATATTTATAAGAAAATTACGAATTAAATGTACTATTAAACAACTAAATACTAAATTTTAATTTTAATTATTACGTGGTAAAATTTATAAATCGTAATTCATACATTTTATGTGTTACTGTAATACTGAATAAATAATATAAGAATACAATTGTGTTTCAAATGTTGTAATACTATCAAAATAAATGCTGAACTTAATTTTATCTAACATTTAAAATTTGAAAGAAAAAATTCAAATTTTCGTTAATATATCAAAAAATTAATTATATGTAATTGAAATTAATTAAATTCTATTCGCGAGATCAAAGATCACAAAAATATATCCAATTTTTTATAATTACTTTAATTAATATTTTATCGTTACTGATTTGCCTTAACAAAAAGTATGTATTTTTTGTTTTTTTGTGCATTAGTTTAATTTTTGTTTGTTAACAATGACAAATTTAAGTATTTAGCTTTATATAAAATGCTTGATTATACGAGTCAATTATCATTTGTCAATAGTGTACTCATCGTGTCATAATATAAGAATGTTTAATTAATTGATACATTGCCGCGGAAATCAAATAACAGTTATTATACATTTTCTATTGTTTTAAAACTAAAAAATATGTTTTACTATAAATATTTTTATATTTAATTTATTATTACACTTCCATAATTATTTATTCATATATTTATTGTTACTAAAGTAATCAGAACATTCAGCGAAATTTGGTTATACAACACAAATAAATTTATATTTACATTTATAAATAATATTTTCAAAAATGTATTTTAGAATTATTAGCTACCAAAAAGTTTTCATATTTCTTGAAAAAGTGTTTTAATTAAATACATAAAGCTATTAGGTAGATGTTTTACAATGAAAATATTTCAATATATTCATCATTACAGAAAATTTATAACAAAACGTAGGTAATCGTAAAATTTGAATAGACCGTTTAAAATCCTTTCACACACATGATATGTATGAAACTTGTCAAATTGAAAGATATCGATCGGAGCCTCGGGCGTCGGTACCGAAAACAGGAATATTCATTTCCTCAACACGTTACGGCATAGGCCATGGTATTATTATAGGCCCATTACCCGTGATTATATCCGATTAATAAATAATCTCCAAACGTCGTGTGACTGATATATCATGCAACATTTACACCTCGGCGTGGTGTTTCGGTAATAGCGCGTAACCGATCGTTTCGTTCGATATTATTATTAAACACTGGTACTTAAGTATTTCGGTTAATGGGAACGTGTGGGCTTTGGATACGTAAGGTTTCCGACGAAAATCAAGTGCACAGGTTAACATATCGTTACATATCGTCTCTATCAGTGGAGAAAAAAAAAAAATAAATAATGCCCAGTAATCGCATATTATCTCGACCGGCAGAGCCCACGACGACGAAGATTCGCTCGCGGGTCCGGTCGCCGCAAACGCGCGCGCCTCGCAGTGGTTGCAGTTAATTAGGCATCGCTCGGGTACACGCACGCAGAACAGCCCCGACGCGGTTATTAAAATAAAATCACTATCGTTCGTTATCATTTATCATTGGTTCAAAGTCATCCGTAGCCGAATCCACTTACCGTAATCGCTCGTATCGCTGTACGTGCTGTTCACCGTGCCGTCCAGGAACAACTGCAGGTATCGGTGTCTGATGAACATTTTTATTTTCCTGGCGGTGCCCACGATGTGCGACAGGCTGTCCGACGACCTGCTGGACCTGGTCGCCGACCCTGCGGTCGCGACGTTCTCCGCCGCTATCCTACCGGCACCGACCCCCGGCTTCCGTTCGGGGACCATCATCGCTGCGGCGTTTGGGGAACGGTCCCCGGGCGGCGAACCCAACACAGCACCACCGCACAACAAGACACACAACACCAACGCACGGAACGTCGTCACCAGAACACTACGCCGATTGGCACCGCCGCCGCCGCTGCTGCTGCTGTTACAGTACACGCGCGACCGTTTCACCATGACTTCGAGCCACTTCCGGGTGGTACCGGGCTGCAGGGTCCGTTGCGCCGGACACCCGTGCCCGCCTCGCTCGGAGACCGCATACCACCGGGGAGTTGAAAGGACGAGACGAGACGACGTCGTTATACCGACGGGTAGGCCCGCACCGCCGACATTGCGGGACCGAGCTGACTAGACGACCGCGGCGATTTTTTCGTGATTAAAAATGAAAAACGGAGAAAAAACCCAAAACGAGTTAGAAAAAATAAAAAGAATCGTCTGATTATTTTTATCTTTTTTTTTTTTTTTTTTTAAAAGGGGCCGCGGGGGCGAACAACGCGGGCAAATTTACGCGGAGGGGGGGGAACGGGGGGGGGAAAAAAAAAATAAAATCGGAAAAAAAAAAAAAAAAAAAACGAGCTGCAGAGAAAAGGTCACGGCGCTTCAGTTATATTCTGCTTTCGAAGAACGGCTTCGCGTCGTCGTCGTCGTCGTCTTCTCGGTACATCGGATCACTTTTTTTTCCCCTCTAATAAACTGCGCGACGTGCGGTTGGCGACTGGCCCGAGAGAGTGGCAATGTCGAACGCGAGGAATATTAAGAATCAAGAGGACCACCACCAGACGGTATTCAATTTTTCTGCCCAACATGTGGATGTGATCTGGCGCGTGCGTACCCACAGATGGAGCCACCGTGCAGTCGGTGGTCGATCGAGTTCGCGCGCGCCGTTCACGACGTTATTTTATCGGCTTATGAAGGTGGCTCGAGATTAATTTTACTTTTTTATTGGCATCGCGAGTCGAAAGTTTAAGTGGTTGAGGTTTTTCAAAAGAGAAGTTATGATAAATAAAAAATTAAACCAATAAATTAAATACCTTTAAAAAAGACGCAACTCAGTTATTTATACCCGTTAAAAGTGTATAATATAATGTTAAATAAGGTTTCAACAGCATTTTTTTCAAAACTATCGACACTCGACGTTATTCAAAATTCGTTATTATTAAAAAAATTACATCTTTACTCTACTTGAATTAATATAGGTATTCGGTAAAATATTACATAAGCATATTTATTGCATTGATACGTCTCTCTAATATTATAATGTCTGTAAATAAATGTGTGACGTTATCATTAAGTGCTTTACAGAGCGAGTACTTTTTTCTAATGAATAATTATAATCTACATTGATCTAATAATACTAGTACTTTTATTTTAAGACATCATTAAAATTAATAAATTGTAGGTATCAACTACAGGTATTAACTGTTATCCCCAATAATTCAAGATAAAATTTATAAAATATTCATATCGTCTTTTTAAGTACAATACTTAATTAAAACCACACAAGATTCGAAATATATTAAAATAAACTACTCCGAAAAATATACAACGTATTGGGTATTAAAAAAAAAATAAGTTCAATAAATTAAAATATAAAAATAAATATATTTTAAACTAACCAAATACATTAAAATATACTAGTAACCTAAACATTAAAATAATCAATATTAAAAAAATTAAAAAGGTCTCTTTTATTGAAGATTGAACATCTACAGATATATCTTACATTTAATATACGTCTATCAAATAGCGGATATGAAAAGTAATGTTTTTTTTATTTAAAGAGCTTTTATGGTGACACATTACAGTTCATAATAAGTACATCACTGATAATTAAAGTGAACAATTTAAGCAAAAAAAAAAAATATTTAAAAATAGCAAGAGCAAAATATTATAATAGTATAAGCTTCATGCTTCAGTAGTTACAATTATTACTGTACTGAGTAAAATTAGTGTTTACATTTCATTAAACAAGTATTATAGATCACCTAAGTCCTAAACTAAAGCAAATATTTTAAGCACTGAATTTTTGTATATGAAAATCATTATTAATTATATCAATTATGCTAAAATCTAATTGAAGAAAAAAGAAAAATATTAACTATTGACTTGCAAATATAATGAGTTAAATAATAAAATAGAAAAATTAAAATATTTACAAATTTTTTGAATATAATTTTAATAATAATACTATAGATACCATACTCACTTAAAAAACGAAATTTATTCAACAAAAATTAATTTTATATAACTAAGTACATTATTATTATGTATTAAAAAATCTTTGTATATAGCATATCTACAGTTTTATTTTCTAAATATATTTTTTTATAAAATTGACCCAATTTCAAAAATAAAATAATCGAATACACTAAAAATGTACAAGCCTGGAGCTTGTAAATCATAATTTGATCATTACCTTGATCGCTATAATAATCGTAGTTAACTAACTCTTAGTTTTTAAATTAATTTAAAGTTTAAAACAGTTAAACTGTCATGGAAATAATATTTTTTGTCACATTATAAACTTCAATCATTAATAAATATAATTAGTCAAATATTTTAATTTTTCAGCACTAATTCCAAATAATTTTCAAGTTCAATTTTATGTATACTACTACTTGTCTTATTATCCTGGTTAAATAATAAAACCATAACACTTGATTACACACATAACAGTTTTGAAGCTCTAACACAAGCCAACATTGACAACATTTTAATTATGCATTCATCATAAAATACATTTGTAAGCCTTATATCACTTCAAAATTAAAGGTCTTTTACATAAGGATTAATGATATATAAAAATAGAGAAATTAGTCACTCCATTAATCAAGTTAAAGATTAATTCCACAATAAGTAGTTAAGGTTAGTATTGGTAAGTTTTGATGTCATATATCCACGACCTTCACAAACACCTATAATATTTACAATTCATAGGTAAATACATAAGGAAATAGCTTGATTCATAACTGACAATAGATAATAACTACGCAAAAATAGAGGTGTGTCGACAAATAATCCAAAACAAAATAATGAACCGGAAATACCTCGGAAGTAACGGTATAATGTCAAAACTTTAAGAAGTACTAATAACGAACAATAATTGATAACGATATTAAACATTACTTTCAATTTTGTTTGATTATAATAATTAATATCTTTAAGACAGGTGCTTTGAATATTAGCATTAACGTTAAGATACCAAAAATATTGTTAAAACAACGAAAGCAGAAATATTTCTAATAAAAAATGAACTTCAAATATAAAAACAGGATTACCTTCAACACCAGAAACTAAGGTGGCATAAACGCGTGCGAATCAGTTCACATATTACCTACATTCTCCGTCTAACGTAATCTTTAAAGAAAAATTCAACAATTTTACATACATGTCGCGTAGCACGTACGCAAATTAAGTATAGAGTTACAGCCTCCCAGATACTTTACAATTAATCTGCGGATTGCTATGTTTCATTCCATGACATAAAATCCATCAAATCAAAGGTAATTATTTCTAATTTTAAAACATTTAAATAAAACATCTAATTAAAAGATAAATAATTAAATACCAAATATATTTTACTGCGGATAAAGGTTGATAATTATTAGGTTAAAATCTACAAATAAGAGATTGTGCTAGAATATATATAAATATTTATTTTTTTAAAACTAAATAAAATAGTTAATAACTTTCTCAAATTATTATTTGCTTCAAAAATGGAAGAATATATTTTATATTGTAATAAAAAATTGTATTTAAAATTTTTAATTTTAAGATTATTTTGATGAAATTATAAAGCATAAGGGCATCTTATTTTTAAGATATTAAGTTCATAATAAATCCGGTTTCTACTTGTAATGATGTACCAGGTACTTAGTTTATAAGCAATTAAAATAAATAATTAACCTACTCGTATATGAGTGACAATACAAATAAACTTTCTTCAATTACAGAGTAACAAAACTGCTAAATAAATATTATTATTATTATTAAATAAATAAAATCCAATAATTCATTTTTAACCTAATTAAATAAGTTTCTACTTATCTATAATAATATTACATAATATTTTATAAAATTAACTTAAATATGACTAATAATATTCCATAATAGCAAAGCTTTTGAAATATTTGAATGATTTTACAGCAATTAATGATAAATAATAATATATGCATTTACTATACTTATACTATTTATTTAACTACGTATTGTATCAAAATTTAATAGAATTTATATCACCAAACTGATACTTATATTATAAAAATAAATAATTATATATATTATTTATATATCACTGAGAAATTAATAATTATTAGTATGATAATATATTAATCAGTTTTTTTAAATGTTCCAAAAACGACAACAATTATATATTTAACTTCTTATATACTTACTATTTAACTATTCAATCATTAGACATTTTCACAATTTAAGAGTAGATATAAGTTATAACTTATATCTTATATAACTTTCAAGTTAAAACATTCTTAATATTATCAATTATTTAACAATTTCAGTATTTAATCTATTATTAAATTATGTGTTAAAGTTTATATATTTTTGACCTACTAAAAAGTCTATTTTATATTCTATCAAATTCAAATAAATTCATAATTCATTTTAAAAATGTGAGATTGGTTATTTTTGCTGGTTAAAAAAGGTTTGTGTGAAGTTATGAATAAATAATAACAGTATATTTTATGATATCACATATTTATTTGAGTCTTTTGGTATCCCCTACAATAATAACAGTAATCTAATTACTTAAAATTATCTCAACTTGAAAAATTGGCTATCTTATTCATTAAAGTGAATAACCATAATTTTACCGCATTTTCATGAGCAAGGTACTTGTATATATGGGACAGTCACGAATTTTAATATTTATCATTAAGTATTAACTGTTGTACACATTACATCAATAGTGAAATTTTTATTGCCACATTGCTAAAATTCAAGTTTAGTACCAAGGTCACTTTTATGCACGTAAGCACTACATTGCACTTTTTACTGAAATTAAATTAGGTATTATAACTAAATAAGTTATATGACCATTAATTCGTTAGGTACGAATTGAGGTACGGGTTTATTAGAAGTACGTATGTATTACGGCCACACAACAATGTATTATTATTTTTATTGTTGTTAATATGTTTTTATTTGTTTATTTCAATAATAAAAGTTCTATTTATAAGTACTTTAATCCTTGAATGGTACACTTAGAGCTTTTTCGTACATTTTTTATAGGTTTTTCTGTATTTTTGAATAATAAATAAATAAATGCATATAAAGCAATTAATAACATACAAAAAATTACATGTAGATATATAAAGCTTTTTGTAACTTACTTGAATTAAAAATTGTCTTTGGTTTTCATTATTTGTGAACTTATTATTGAAATTCTCCATGAGCTCTACTCCTTTTTGAACGGTGACATTAACGATTTACAA